CGCAGAACTGTATTTAATTTCTGTAACTATAGCTGGTGAGTCTGAAGTTTTGCACAGATTTTCATTTAATTTATTATATAATTTTTTTGCAAATCTGCACAGAACAGCACTAAAAAATTTCTCCAGATGATATGCTCAAATATATTATGAAATGTGAGCAGAAAATAAGCTACAAATACTTGCTAATGAAATGACACAATATCATGACAAAACATTTCCTTTTGATAATTATTAAGCCAACCAATTTAAGGATACACCACTTCAGTTTTGAAAATATGTTGAAGAAGGAGCACCTGAACTTGCATTTATTAGTAAATGATTATTTTCAATTGTAGTTAATTCAGCAAGTATTGAACGATTGTTTAGTGATATAGGCTTTATTTATTCAAAGCATCAAGTTCATCTTAATAAAAAAAAAGTTATGAAAATAGCACAACTTTGGGCTAATAAACGTAAAAAAAATATGAAAAAATTAGATTTAAAAAAACTTAATAGCATGCAAATACATGCACAAAAAAAAAGTTCAATTATTAATATAAATATGAATAATAAAGTATCAGTTAATGTAAAGTCTAGTACAAATCAAATAATTAAAGAAAATAATAGTTCTGATAAAGAAATAGAACCTGAGCTTATTTTAGATGAATTAGATTGTATTCAAGTTGTTAATGAGTAGTTTATGAAGTTAGATGATAAAGTATACGAAGCAGAAGACTACAATTTAGATAATATTAAAATTTTACATCTGGCAGAAGACTTTCAAGCAAAATGGAACCTAAATACTCTTTTTTCATCAACTTTGTCGAATTTGTCAAGCATTGAACTATAAAAACTAATATGCTATAATTTGCTTTATCAATTATTAAAATATGTAATGATTTAATTTGCTAATTATATATAGTATTGCATATTTTGCGGCATATAATAAATAATATTTGTCTATGCTAAAGTAAGAAAGAATTAATAGATACATATATAGTACTTTTTGCATGTATTATTACTAAATTTTATATAAGATGTACATATATACTTATGTATACATTTATATATATGAACAATTTACAAATATAACTGCAAATAAGTATTTATAAACTTGATAATTGTTAGTATATACGACAAATATTTATACCTTTTGATCAAAATAATCCGATTTTACATATAATGAGTAAATTTAATTTAGGACAATTTAGGATATTTAGGATAATTTAGAAATTTTAGTATATCTGAAAATAACCATTTTAATTTTAGGATGTTCTAAAACCAACCTTACTTATCAGTAAGTGATTTAAAGAAAATTAAAGCTATTATTGAAAAAGAAGTTAGCAAAGATATGATAGTTAATGAGAAAATTAATACTAGTAGAAATTTAATATTTGATGATAGAGAATAAATATTGAATAAAGATATGTTATTTGATTATAATAAAGAAAATTTTGAAAGGTTTTCTGAAGAAGATTTTAAAAATTGCTTAGAAAAGAGTTTTGAAAAAAACTCTGTCAAGATTTTGAACAAATTGAAAAAGAATATTATATGAATTTAGAAAAATACTCAGAAAAAGATTTTGATAAAAGTAACTTTATTGAAATTGATAATTAAAGTATTACAATAAATTATTATAAAAAATCTAGTAGAACTGTTTATTAATTCTATAACTAACTGGACTAGTTATCTATAAAGTATTAAGATCTTACGAATTATAAGATTGCAAAACTAAAAAATTCATTACAATTAACATTTACTATAATGAATTAGTAGTTTTAACTGCAAAGCAAGTTTTTATACAAAACAGTTATTTTTTTAAAAAAACTTTAAACCTTTTTATATTAATTGATATAAATCCAAAGGTTTTAATTCATTATATTCAGAGTTTGCTATAAAGATTATTGACTATATATTTATTTTATAGTTATTATTTTTTTTTTAACTCTTTGACAGTTTTGCCAGTGCTCAATTTATTTAAGACTATATTTTGGTGAGAGTTGAACTCTCTCAAACAATATATATCATTTATAATCTATACAAGGATTCTCGCAATTGTGAGCCTGACATTATCTGGTTGCGATTAACATGCATGCATGCGACTTGTCGCACCAACCTGTATACAAGTTAAATAAACTTTATCAGCCCATCAAAGCTTTTTCCTTTATATTCTCTTTCTTTACTGAGAGCAAAAGAAAGTGATAATCTTATATCTAATACAAAACTACTAATAATATCAAGAAGACAAAATGAAAAATTAACTAAAAAAAACAAATAAAATAAAGAGGAATTTTAAAGAAAATAAAGAAAGTACAATAAAATATAAAAAAAATAAAAATAAAAAAGCCCAAGGGCCAACAAAGGAGGAACTACCTCTATTAAGAAATAGTACAAATAGGATAAAAGAAAAAAGAAAAATACACTATTATAAGCCGTGCCAGGTTTAAGAAAAAATTTTATAACAACTGCAATGTTTGTATATCTCAACTACAAAATCTAACAAACTATTATCTGACTACTGGCCATCTCTGGATGCCTCTTATACCAGAGACCCGATCCCAGTCACATGGAAATCTCGTATCCATAGATTATATCACACTGATAAACAAGGCACGTGATTGCATTCCTGGGTATGTCCAAATTTGGGAGGTAAACAATACTGATTTTTTGAAGAGGGTAAACCAAATCATCCACTTTTTGTTGAAAATTTTGGTGATGACTGGCTAAGTGAAAAACACCTAGGGAGAGACCACTTGCACCCAAGAAAAGTAGATACATTTATATAAAGACTCAACAACTCCTAAACCTTCTTCTAAAAAAGGGGTAGGGCATCTATACTTTCTTTTTAGTGAGTAATAAACTCTGGGCTTGTCGGCAAGTAGCGTATGAGAACTACTTCTAAACAACAAGTGCTGTACCTGCAGTGAGTGATAAACTTTGAAAAAGTTAGCAGGTAGTATATGAAAACTACCTCTAAATAACAACTGCTAACTTATAGCTGCTAGTATACTCTTCATGTTTTACTATATGCTATTGTGTTTTTTACAAAAAATATGTTTGGATTTTTTGGTACAGATGATTGTCAGAAAGAGTTAATAGTTACTATTTTATTATATTATTATTGTATTATTTTTTATATCTTTATTAGTTATTTTTTTAGAGAATTGATATTTCTACACCCTATTTTGATAATGCCACACCTCTGTAGATCATTTAAATTTTTTTAAATTTTTTTTCAACTTTGATTGAAGATATCTTGACACTTACCCGTCTAAATTTGATCAGCTTTTTTTTCTTTAAATTCTATGGCTTTCTACAATTAAAATAAAAAAAAGATGATTGAATTTGGTTAGGTGGGTGTTGAGATATCTTCAACCAAAGTTTGTAAACAATGTTGCCACAGCTTATATTTAATAGACATTTTGATTTTTACAAATCTTTGATCAAAGATATCTTGGCACCCACATGACCAAATTCGATCAACTTTTTTTTTTTTTGAATTCTACGGCTTTCTACAAGTGAATAAAAAAAGTTGGTCAAATTTGGTCCGATGGGTGCTGAGATATCTTCGATCAAAGTTTGTAAACAATTTTGCCGCAGCTTATATTTGATAGACATTTTGAATTTTACAAAA